AAGGGTGTTACATCATGTAGAAGATGTTCAAAGATGTTCAAAGAAATAACGCTTTGGGGTTTTGTTTTTTTTTTTCCCTCAGGGTTATGATGATTGCAAAGAAGTTCTTGGATGCTGGCCACAAACTGTCTTATGCTGTTGCTAGTCGAAAAACCTTTGGCCACGAGCTCTCTGAGTTTGGTCTGGACAGCAGTGTGGGTGAGGCCCCCGTCGTTGCCATCAGAACTGCCAAAGGAGATAAATATGTCATGCAAGAAGAGTTCTCGTGAGTTCTTGAACTTGATGGTAATGGGTCTGATTCGATGGACTTTGGTCTAGAGGTCTCTGACCAGATGATACTTTGTTAGCTTTGAGGAAACAGGAAAGCTGGCTGTTGCAGCTGGAAGAAGCAATTGCTGGGTCAAAATGGTTCCTACTCGTGTGTTTTTCTACTCTTTAGAAAGCTTGCAGTCCCTGCTATTATATAAAGGGAAAGAATTTAATTCAAGATCCTGAAATTCTGGTTAGGATTTAGGGTGCAACAAAGGGCAGAAGAATTCATTGTACCTTTCATTTTGAAAAAAAAACATGAAGAATGCTGGAATGCCTAAAACTTTGAATGGGATGTGTATCCAGCCTCCTGTCAGAGCCCTTAAGGACATCACTGCACTTGTTCTGGGGTCTACTAAGCCAGCCCCAGACTGGTGCTGTCAGAGATGCAGGTGGCATCTGTTGTGTGGGTGGAAGTAGCTTAAATAAGCCTTGAAAGTTTCCCTCTCTCATCCTGTGTGTGTGATGATGGCTGTAACATCACTTTTCTTTCAGCCGTGATGGAAAGGCTCTGGAGAGATTCCTGCAAGATTACTTTGATGGAAACTTGAAAAAATACCTGAAATCAGAGCCCGTCCCTGAAAGCAACGATGGCCCTGTGAAGGTGAGTGCTGCTTACGGCTGCACAGACACTGCTCAGCAGCAGCTTCCTGTGCCTGTGTGAAGTGCTGGGAGTGAGGATGGTGGCAGCTCAAGAGGCCTCTGTGCTGACAGACAGAGGAATTACTCACTCCCTTGTTCCACTGCAGCTTTCTGAGGTGAGGGAGACATGCAGCTTGCAGTTTGGGTTCTGTTTGTTTTCTCTCAGCATAGTAACTGCTGCTTGGCCCCAGCAGTTACATGCTTTGTGAGTGCAGCAGCATCCAGATTTCCAGGGCTTACACAAAGGCCTGCCCTCTTGGCTTATGCTCAGTCCTTCATGGCATGGTCTTCCTGTTGGTTGTGACTGCACTGTTTAAGGGATCTCCCTGTTTATTTCATCATTGGGATCTGGTACAATTCCTGCCTTTCACCCTCCCAGGCAATTCTGCCCTGAGTAACAGCATTCCCTGGCCTGGCTTTTTGATGAGAGCCTTACACAGGAGAGCGAATCACGGGATTCACAGATGTTTTTGGGGCGATGGGGATGGCCTCAGCCAGTCCTGCTGATTGCTTGCTGGGATTAAAAAGTAATGGCTTTATCTTCCTGCGAGGACACCGTATGCAGACCTCACTTGGAGGTAGTGCTGATAACTTAGAGCAGGTTTTTCCCTGCATGGTGCAGATGAGGAGTGCTGTGTTTGGTTCTGCTGCTTGCTGTGCAGGTGTGGGAGACCCAGGCTTGGGTGGAGTGTATGGAGCACGTCATGTCATCGCCTCATCTCTGCCTTGGAAGGAACTAACTGGTGCGATCAACCCTTACAGGTGGTGGTGGCTGAGAATTTTGATGAAATAGTTAATGCACAAGACAAAGATGTCCTGATAGAGTTCTATGCACCGTGGTGTGGCCACTGCAAGAATCTGGAGCCCAAATACAAAGAATTGGGGGAGAAGGTAAGTGTGAGATTCTTGCAAATGTGAACTAGAATTTTGCAACACTAAATGATCCTGCAGGTCCTTTCCAGCTTCTGTGATAATGGGGTGTAATTGTGCCTTCCTGAGGATTACAGATTTTGGTTTCTTTGCAGAGTGCAGATACCTTGCAGCAGGATCTGTGGTAGCAACCACACTGGTATATTTAGTCTGTGTTATTGGCTAGGGCACAGGAATATTCTAGGATTCAGTGACTGGCCTCAACTGCCCAAGTATCTTTTTGCATCTTTTCCCTCTGCATGATAATAGTCTCCCATGTTGTGAAGGTTGGTGAAGTGGCATTCCCTATGCACTGTCCTCTGACACCACTGTCTCAGATCATGCTGACTGCTGGGTTCCTGGATTTTGGAATTGGTTACTGATGGGTTCTTTCTACCCACAGCTCAGCAAAGATCCCAATATCATCATTGCCAAAATGGACGCTACAGCCAATGATGTGCCTTCTCCCTACGAAGTCCGAGGGTAGGTGTGAGTGCTGTGACACCACGTGTCAGTGCATGAGTCTGACTTCAGGCACAGCACTGAAGAGCTGAAAGAGCCTCATGGAGAAGGGTGTGGGGGTTGCCAGACAATAGCTAGGTGACTGCTGGGCAATGGCTTGATGTGGAGAAATCAAGAGTGAAAACAAAATACACTGATCTGCCTGGCTTCTCCAGGATTCTGGTGTCCTGGCTCTGCCTGGAGGCCCGTCCTGCTGCTTTGGAATCTGCTGAGATTCTGTTCCTGGCAGTGTGAAAACAAATCTGGGCTTGCTATTCCAAAAGCAGTTCAGCTAACAAACTTGAACCTGTGAGTTCATCCAGATCTGCCAGGCTCTTGAAGGCCACACCTGGTGCCTCAGAGCCACTGAAGCTGTGCCATGTTAAACCAGGGCAGTGTGGGGCGTGAGTCCCTTCAGCTGGGGCTGATCTGATAGAAATCAGAGCATCTCAGGAGCTCATGTGTTTCTTCTCTCTCCAGTTTCCCCACCATCTATTTTGCTCCAGCTGGCAAGAAGCAGAGTCCAAAGAAGTATGAGGTGAGTATTTTGCTGTTCTTGATGCTTTGTAAAGAAGTGAAGAGCATCCAGGTGTTCTAATTATACTCAAGCCTCTTTGGAGTTGGGGGTGGCACTGTGTCCTCTTTCCCTGGGAACACACCTGATGGTACCTGCTGGGAGCGTTGTACTTTAGTTGTAGGCCCTGGGGAGACTCTGCTTGCAGTCACCTGGGTCTCCCTCCAAGCACCTGAGCCCCCCTTCAGGAGAGGGGAGGTCCTCCGTGGGTACAGCTGCTGCCTGACTGTCATTTGTTTCCTGCAGGGAGGCAGAGAAGTGAGTGACTTCATCAGCTACCTGAAGCGGGAGGCAACCAACACTCCCGTGCTGCAGGAGGAAGAGAAATCCAAGAAATCCAAGAAGAAGGTGAAGGAGGATTTGTAAAGTACCTACTTGCCATCTTGTCAGAATGAGCTCTGTATGAATTGGGGAAGCGCTGGTCAGACTGGGGCCAGTTCTGGGCTGTGGAGAGCCAGTGGCCATGGGGGCCGAGGGGCCCCAGCTGCTGTATCTAGTAATGTTTAATTTTCTGCCGTCTCTTAGCTGCACTGTTGTGGGGCTCCCCAGGTTTGTTTTGTGGTTTGGGAGGGGGTGGGGGTACGGTTATTTTCTAATTTTTTTTTGTACATTTGGAGAAGTGAAACAATAAAATGACCCCCTTAAGACCAAGTGTCCCTGTCCTGAGGAAGCCCATCAGACCTAGAAATGGGATCCTGTTCTTCATAGGCAGCAGCTTCCTGCTGCAAGTTGTTCCCTACAGTGAGCCCTCCTAGTCACTGACTTTAGCTTTTAGCCCATTATCCTCTTTCCTCAGCTGCCTGAGCCCCTCCAGAATGTAGCAGCAACAGCAGTCCCAATGTTGGGCTTCGGGCGCTGCATTTACACACATTTTGGACAGGGGAGCTGTGGCCACAAGTGCCTTTGCTGTGTGCTGCCCTGGTGAGTTCAGGGTACGTGGTGCATACTGTGCCTGTGGGATTGCACACAGTAGGCTGGCAAGGGCCTCACTCAGCAGCAGCAGCAATAAATCTGCTTTCAAACTGGTGCAGGAGTAGTCAGCTCCACTGACATCTGACAATTACCCATGTAACAGTAGTGCTGCTTCCTTGGTGGGCAGGACAGTGCTCTCCATCAAGCCAAGGAGAGCCAGGAAAGTGGTTCTAGTCCTGTCTTTGCTCCCTGCTCTGTGACTGTTGCCCTGGTGGCTGCTGGGGCACTGAACACAGGTACAACTTGTCAGCATCTTTGGCCCATAGCATCACTGCTGGTGCTCAGGGCAGCCTGGGTGAAGTTAGCACAGGCCTGGGGAAACTTTCAGGAAGTTTCAGGATGTGGAAGCGCTGTGCTGGTGGCTGCCCAGATGTCCCCTGCTGTCCTGCAGCTGCACTGAAGGTACTGAGCTTCAAAGTGAGGAGAAAAAGGCATCTGATGAAGTATTTGTGTATTTGCTGCCTGGAATACTTGGCAAACAGGATGGCTACAGACCTTTCAGTGAGGCCTGAGTGGAGAGCTGGTCCTGTGTAAGGGAGAAGCCACCACCCAAAGTAACACATTCCCCCCCAAGCAGGGAATGGTGCTTCAGGGTAGCTGGAGCAGCTGGCACTGCTTCAAAGACTGGTCCGATGAGCAAGGCAAAAACAGCAGCAACAGATTGCTTGGGAGGCCGCGCTTCTTGTTAGAATCAGGCTGTTGATGTGAGACAGCCTTGGATGGAGATGCTCACAGTGATTCTTCTCCTGCTGATAGCTGGGATAGGCCAGACCCGGCCTGCAGCCTCGGTACCGGAGACGCCCGGGCACGGCATTGCCGGGAAGGCGCGGCGGGGGCGGCGGGCGGTCCTGAGGGGCAGGGGCGGGCGGCGGGAGCCCTGCGGCGGGGCTCGCCCTGGGCCAGCTATTTTTGCCGCCGGCGCGGACTAATCCCCTGAGCCGCTTCCCGGCATTAGGTAACGGCGCGGCGGCATGCGCTCCGCGGTGTCCCCGGCCCGGGCAACCCCCGGCAGTCGCGGCGCGGCGGGACCGGCGGCGGCACGCCCGGTGCTGCGGGCCGGGGGCCGTGGGCGGTGAGGAGGGCCGGGGCGGACATGCCGGGCCCGTCGCCCGGCGGCTCCCCGGAGAGGGAAGCAGGGGCCGGCGGGCGACGGCGGGTGCGGTTCCGGCTGCCTCACACCACCATCGCGGTGCCGTCGGTGCGCGAGGAGGAGCAGCTCTTCTACCGGCGGCTGGAGGCTCTGGCAGTGCCGGGGCCCGGCGGCTTCGGGCCGCTCTTCGCTTCCGACGGTTGGAGCGACTTGACGGGTGAGCGCCGACGGGCGGCCTCAGGGCCAGCCGGGCCGGCGGCCCAGGCTAGGACGGCCGGTACCGGGGAGAGTCGAGCAGGGAGTGCCAATTTCGGGACTCCCGGCTCGGCTCTCAGCGCCTCCTCCCGCGCAGAGGACCGGCTGCTGCGGAAGCGCGTGGTGCGGGCCGGGCCGGGCGGGCCGCGGCCGTTGCCGGGCCAGGAGGTGTCGGTGAAGGTGCTGGGCGCCCTGGAGGACGGCGGGCTGGTGGAGAGGGACCCGCGGCTCATCTTCGTGCCGGGTCACGGGGACGTCGTGCAGGTGAGCCCGAACCGGTGCGCGGTTCAGTGCCGTGCGGGCTCAGCGCCGCCCTGGGCTCCGACCCGCCAGCCCCGCCGTGCCCGTCCACAGGCTCTGGAGCTGGGCGTCCCCACCATGCAGCCCGGGGAGGTTTCCTTCTTCCTCGCCGCTTTCCCCTACGCCTACGGCCGCCCGGGCAGGTAGGGCGGGGGAACGAGCAGGCGGGGACTGGAGCACGCAGGGGGCGGGAGGGCAGACGGACCGGGGCGGGCGGACAGGAGGGACAGGCGGGGACAGGAGGAGCCGAGCCAGTGGGGCCGGCAGAGCAGGGGGCCGGGGCGGGCAGGGGTCGCAGGCAGCCGGCGCTGTATCAGCAGGGAGCCCGACGTGCCGCCCGAGGCGCCGCTGCTGTTCGAGGTGACGCTCCTGGAGGTGCGGGACGGCCCCGACCCGCAGCCGCTGCCGCCCGCCGTCCGCCTGCGCCTGGGCTCGCAGCGCCGGGAGCGGGGCAACTTCCACTTCGCGCGGGGTGACTTCGCCGCGGCGCTGCGGTCGTACCGGCTGTCCCTGCGCGCCCTGGACGGCCCCACCGCCGGTGAGACCGGGCGGGAGGGAGGGAGAGCCCCGGGCTGTGGGGCTGAAACGCTGAGGTCGCCACTCGCCCCGCAGCTCCGCCCGGGCCCGAGGAGGAAGAGGAGCTGCGGGAGCAGCGCGTAAAGTGCCTCAACAACTGCGCGGCTGCCGAGCTGAAGCTGGGGCAGGCGGAGGAGGCGCTGGCTGCCTGCGAGGCGGCCCTGCGGATCTGCCCCGACAACGGTCGGGCGTTGCTGCGGCGCGGGCAGGTGGGACTCGCATCGCCCCGCACCGTCCCGCTCCGCTCGGCCCGGCCGTCCAGCCACCCTCCGCTCCTCTCCCCGCAGCTGCTGGCAGAGCAGGGCCGGGACGCAGAGGCGGCGCTCGTCCTGAAGAGAGCCCTGGAGCTGGACCCGGCCAGCAAGGTGCGGGGTGCGAGGGCGGGCGGTGGTCCCACAGCACCTGGTACTAGGAGTGACGGGTAGGAAGAGGATCTCGTGGGAGTCGGTGGGTCGAGTGTCCCACCGCAGCCGCCCCTCGTCCGCAGGTGATCCACACCGAGCTCTCACGGCTGGCGAAGCGCCAGAGTCCTCCATCCAGCACCAGCCCGCAGAATCCCCGCCACGACCCGATGCCGCCGCCGAGCCCCGTGTGCGTAGGCAACCTGGGCTGTGCAGGGACGGACGCCCGTCCCGTACCCGGCTGGCGCGGATAGCGCTTATAGCCGTCCCTCCCTGTAGAGCCCCCGCACCGCCCTCGGCGGAAGGAGCGATCTGAGCGGCTCCGCAGCGCCCCAGAGCCTGACCGAGGACATAGAGGAGCTCTCATACCATCCTCCCCCCATCGCCCCATACTCCCTGGGGCGGGGAGGGCTGCGGGAGGGGCGGGACGGCGCCCGCTCCCCGTTCCGCACCGCCCGCCCCGCACCGCTCTCTCCGCGGGCGGCGCTTCCGCACGCCTCGTGACGTCACGGCGGGGGGGCGGTTCCTCCTCGCCCGCATCCTCTCGCGCGGAGGCGGCTGCGGCGCGTGCGCCCAACCTTCCGCCTTTTTCGCCCCCGCCGGCAGAAGGGAGGCCATAGCCTGCGGCCAATCAGGCGGGGCCTTGCCGGAGAGACGCGCCAATGGGAGTGCAGCGGGGGGTGGATCGGCGCAGTGATTGGCTGCGGCATCCCTTAAAGCGCGGCGCGGGGCGGGGCGCGGGGGGGTCAGTGCGGGACGTGGCGGTGGAGTGGAGGTGGGAGGGAGCGGCGCCATGACCCGTGAGTTGGGGGGGAAGGCAGGAAGGAAAGGGGGTTGCGGCTCACGAGTGTGGCGGGAGGCTGCCCTGGGATCCGGGAGTGCGGCGGGGCCGGGGTCAGGGGCCGTGCCGTGATCCGCCGGCGCGCCGGGACCCGGCCTGCGGCCAGCGGTCGGGCCGGGCGTGGGGGGTGGCGGCGCGGCCCGTAAGCGCGGCCGGGCTGCGCTGAGGCGGCCGCGCTTGGCAGGCGGGAACCAGCGCGAACTGGCGCGGCAGAAGAACCTGAAGAAGCAGAGCGACTCGGGCAAGGGCAAGCGGCGGGACGACGGGCTCTCGGCTGCCGCCCGCAAGCAGAGGTGAGCGCCGGGCCGGCCCGCCGGCTCCCCCTGCCCCGCTCCCTGCTCCCGCCCCGCGGCGGTGCCGGCCCCGCCGCCAGCCCCGCCGCGCTCCCCGCAGGGACTCGGAGATCATGCAGCAGAAGCAGAAGAAGGCCGATGAGAAGAAGGAGGGCAACAAGTAACGGGCGGCCGCGCCGGGCTGCCGCCCCAGGGCCGGTCCCGCCGGCAGGATGCCCCGCGCCGCCCCAGGCCGGGTCCCGCCGGGACCCCCGGCATCGCCCCGCGCCCTGCGGCGCCGTCCCCTATTAAAGTAGCTGTGGAGCCCTGCACGCTGCGTCTGCTCGTCCGTGCGCCGGGCGGGGGGTGGGCGAGCACGGGTATTGCCGGCGGAGCAATCGCGTCCGCGGAGAAGGACCGAGCACGGCCGTGGCGGAGTCAAGCGGCAGCATCTTGACGGTGAGGAACAAAGGTGGGGTCGGGTCTGGGCGGCCCTTGGGGCAGCACCCGGGGCTCAGCGCGGGGCTGAGGGCCGAGCGCCCCGGGGCGGCGGGGAGAGCTGGCAGCGTCGAGGAGCGAAGCTGGCCGGGGCGCAGCCGGGGCTCCGGGCCGCTCGGAGGGCGGTGGTGGAGAGATGGCGGCCGGGCCTGCGCACCGGGGGAGAGCCGCGCTGCGGCACGGCCGGGGCGGGCCCAGCTGTGGCTGCCCGTCCGGCAGCAGCGCGGAGCCATGCGCCTGGCGACGGGGTCCAGCCCGGTGCTGAGGCCGGCGCCGATCGGCCTTTTCACCTCCCCGCAGGGCCGTAATAGTGGCGTCAGCCCCAGCCGGCAGCACGGCGACGGGTCCCGCGGCAGCCTGGGCTCCGAGCCGAGCCAGATGCAGCGCCGCCTTCCACCGCGCCGGTGCCGTCCTTGGCGCTGGTCTCGCAGAACAGGCAGCCCTCCCTGGAGGCTGGGGCTGGCAGCGGGGCCCTGGTTACCCCGGGGGCCCTGAGGAGCTGCTGCTCGCCATGGCCGGCTGCCTCTGGTCTGTGTGCACCCCCTCTGCCAGGCCAGGCCGCAGCTCTGTCTTGTTCGCCACCAGCATCAATGGCTGTGGCTGCTCGACTGCAGGACAGAAGGGTGGCACGGGGCTCTCTGGGGCTGCCCCAGAGGGCCATGCCAGTGCTGTGGCAGGCTGCCCAGTGGCCTGTGCTTGCAGCAGGCATGAGCAAGGCATTGTTTCCCCAGAGGACAGCCTGTGCTGCCTGCAGCACGGGGGTCTGGCAGAAACCCCCATCCGGATCAGGCTCTGTGGGGACTTGCAGCAGTGCTGCTGACTCGGGGTGTTTCACAGAGCTGGCACCCCCTCCCTCCATCCCCATGGCAGCAGCCTGCGCAGGGCAACGGCCTAGGCTCAGTTCAGAGTTTTATATAAAAATGTATTCAGGCAGGTATTTACAGTGAATGCACCACGGCAGTGGCAGCCAGGGCAGAGCCCTGCTCCCCCAGTGCACCCAGTGAGGCCAGGGCAACCAGGCTGCGGGCTGAGCACCTGCCACCAGCTGGCTCTGGCCCTTTGGGTGGCCCTGGCATCCACCTCCCATGTTCCACTCAGGCTCTCGGGTGCTGCTGTCTCCTGGGACAGGGGGTCAGGGGAGGCCAGGAGGACCAAGCAGGGCTAGGGCACAGGCACGGGGCACAGCAGGGACCAGCCCTGGGCGCAGTTTGTCCCGGCAGGGACTATGTGGAGACGTTGATGCGCTGTGGAGCGCGTCGGCGCCGCACGATGCGCCGCCCTGTACTGCTGCGTCGGTGCTGTGGGGAGCCGTGGAGGCAGAAGGGGCTCAGCAGCAGCCACAGGTAGAGCAGGACACAAGCCCAGCACGAGGACACCTTCACCCAGAAGGTTGACCAGCTGCCATGTGTGAAGGTGGTCTCCAGCACTGCGTTCTCATAGCTGGTGGGAGAGGGCAGGGCTGGGTACCCAAAGGATGCCAGCACAGGGGGTTCCAGCGCCAGCTGCAGCCCCCAGATCACCCTGTGTCCCACTGGCCATGTGCCCCTGGGCATGTGCCTTCCATGGCCCCCCAGCCCTTCTTGCTGCGCTGCACGGCTGCCACTGCAGCAGTGCAGGTCTGCGGGCACAGAGTCCTGAGCAAGCCCAGCAGGTGCCAGCTCGGTGATACTGGCACAGCCTGGCACAGAGGTTTGGAGCGAGAGCAGGGAGGGCTGGGCAGCAGCACAGAGCCCTACCTGAACCAGTTGGTGAGTGTCACCATAACATAGAGCGAGGCAAGGAAGAAGACAAAGTGGAAAGCTGAGTAGCTGTAGACCACCCGGTCCTGCTCATCCTCGATAATGAACTGTCCTCTGGCACTCTCCTCTACTTGCTCACATGTCTGGTCAGTGCCTGGGGGAGTGTGGGGATATGGCACTCCCAGGCTGGGACACAGGCTCTGTCCACTCCCACACAGACACTGCACTCACCTCTCAGCTCCTCCTCCATCTTCTCAGGGCAGCAGAAACAACAGGAAGGTTTCTGCAGGGAGAGGAGAGTGCTGACTGCCCAGCCCCGTGGCCAGCATGGCCAGGCTGAGCCCTGCCTGATGCTAGGGCAGGTGGTGTGGCCAGCCCTCTGTGCTTTGCCAGACAGACCTGCCCCTCTCTGGGGCTGGGACAGGGCCTTGAGGTGGGTCTGGGGCGCCCTTAGCAGGAGGACATGGAGCACGGCTGCATCCATACTCACTTTAAACTCAAAGCTGTAGACTTTGACCATCCAGAGGGGCCCAAAGACCTCAGCGAGGTACGAGGCTTCATTGCTGTGCCCAGGAGAGAGGCAGAAATCATGACACACGCACCCATCACGCTGTGCTAGGCTCCCAGCCCGCCCCATGGATTCCCAAGGCCACAGGAGCTCTGCTGCGCTGCCCGTGTCCCCCCACCAGCGCCCCGCCTGCTCCTGCCCCGCCGCCCCCCGGGACAGCCCCGCAGCCCGGCCGTGCCCGGGCAGGGCGCACGCACCATGCGAACAGCACGCAGGCGTACATGATGGCAGCGCCCAGCACGGCCACGGTGGTGTCCTCCGTCTGCAGCTCATCCTGCCCGACCCCCGGGAAGCACACAGTGAGGTTCTGCCCCTTGTACAGCACTGCAAGGAGGCGGACGTGAGAAGGGCATGCATCGCGGGGGGACGGCTGGTGGTGGACAGGGACACCCACCTCTCTCTGGGGGGCGGCTGGACAGTGCAGAGAAGGTGAGGTACATCACATAGCAGCTGATGATTGAGGACTGCAGCAGCCCTGACCGCGGCTGCTCTGCAAGAGTGCGGATAGAGGAGTTACTGGAGTTCCTGGGGTAACCTGAGCTGGTGGGTGGGGCTCTGAGGGGGCCCTGGGCAGCCCCCTCCTGCCACTCGCCCATCCAACGCCTCGTGCCAAGGTAAAGGAAGGGCCAGGAACCCAGAACTGGGTTGTCCTCCGGTGCCCCAGAGCTGGCCCTGAGCTGGGGCCCACCGTCAGCACAGGACACAGCTGGCCGTGCAACACACGCTGTGCTGTGTGGTACTCACTGAGCCGCACACACGGTGTGATGGAGATGAAGGACATGATGACACAGAGGCTGCCATTGATGGCAAGCAGTGCTTTGTTGAGGTGGCAGGCGGCTGGGTGGGTGTAGAACTTGTAGAGGAAGGAGAAGGCGGCAGAGGCGAGGGTGTAGAAGGTGGCCGTGGCCAGCAGCACAGCCAGATACCAGCGCTTGTCCTGCGCAGCTCCTGTCAGCCTGCAGAAGAGTGGATGAGCAGTGGCAGGGGACAGGCACCCACCCAGCACCCCGGCACTCACCAGTTCTTGTTCCAGGTGTGTGCAAAGGCTGTGATTAGCACCAGCTGGATGAGGATGAAGGCGAAGCCCCCACAGACACCTGTGTAGTGCCAGGCTGGGGGAAGACGGCAGAGGTAGAGACGGCACAGGGCAAGTGGGGCACAAAAGGGGCGCCCAGGGTCCCAGCTCAGGTAGGGTGGGGACACACCTTGGATGAAGTTGTCCTCAGGGATGAAGAAGCTTGCGGCCCAGAGGCCCACCAGCACCAGCAGCTTCAGGAGCCAGAACCTGCAGGGCAGGTAACGTAAGTAGGACAGAGCCCCTGGCAGCCCCATCCCAGGGCACCCTGTCCCAGCCCCATGGCCCATCCTCACCCGTTGTGGAGCTGCGCACGGCAGTCGGAGCTGGAGCGCACGTTGAGCAGCAGGGCAGCCTGTGCCAGGTGGAAGCAGGCAGTGCCAAAACAGACCCGGTACACGGCCGAGGAGCCCACCAGCTGCTCGCAGTCTGTGCCCCCAGGCAGGTGTTGGCACAGCACCACTGAGAAGGGCACCTGGCAGGCACGGTGGTTGATGGGACAGGGCTGCTGGTGCGTCCACCCACCATCCCCCAGTGCCCATGGCATCCAGCACATCCAAACTTTCAATATTCCCACCATTCCCAGTACCTTTCTCAGTATCCTGGGACTGCTGGGACCCCCAGCATGCCAGGCAAATCCTGCATCTCTGGTACCCCTGGCACCCCTTCCTGCTTGGCACCTCCAGCACCCTTGTCACTCCCAGCAGCCCTGTCACTACCCCACCATCCCAGTATCCTCAGAATCCCAGTACTTCTGATGCCCACGGCAATTCTGGCATGCCCAGTGCTCCCCTGGGTGCCCTGAAGTGCCTGGCACCCCAGTACCCCCAGAACTCATGGTACCCTTGGGACCCCCAATACTCCTGGTACCCTGGGTGTCCCGGTTCCCTCTGTCACCTTCTCCGTGATAGCCTGGGCCACAGTGCGGGACAGCATGAGGCAGCACACAGCAGAGGCCAGGACGTGCAGGAGCGTGTAGAGGATACGCGTGCTCGTGGACACGCGGAGCCCGTGACACCCGCAGCAGAGCTGGGGAGGGACGCGGTCAGTGGGGATCCCAGGGGACCAGCACTGCTCCCCAGCCCGGCCCAGCACACCCTGCCCGCCCAGTCCGCTCCCCGTCCGCTCCCAGCCCCGCCGGACCCCAAGTCCCACCTGGAGAAGCAGCGGGTGCAGGAGGGGCCCCCGTGCCGCTGTGCCCGCCATGGCCTAGCTCGGCTCTGCTCAGCCCCCGCGGCGTTGATGGGATTAGGGGATTGTCAGCTCGGCCCGCCCTGCCATCTGCTCGCTGTTCCCTCCAGGCAGCCACCCCTGGCGTGCTCAATGGGCACTGTCCGGTGACTCCTGGCCTTGGGCATCCCTGCCCTGAGCCCGGCCCTCCTTGGGCAGGGCAAGGCCCGAGCAGGTGCCCTGGACGTGAGCTTGCGTGAGGGGCACCTGTGTTCTGCACATGGCGTCTCCCTGATCCCAGAGCGGTACCATACAGCTGTGTGGAGGGGCTGGGGGATGCGGAGTTTACTGGAGGGGGGAGCATCCCCGTGCACAGAGACACCCAAGGGACACAGGTACCTCGCTGGGTAGCGGGGCGGCGTGAAGCGCATCCAGCGGGTAGCAGGCTGGCCCAGGGTCGGCAGGAGCTGGGGACAAGCAAGGGGATGCAGGGGACTCTAGGCCGGGGCTGGCGTCACCTTTCTTCAGCCGCTCCACAGCCGCTCAGGCTTTGTGCGGGCAGAGCCCTCAGACGGCGGCTGGCGGGGCTGCGCCTGCAGCGGCGATGACACGGATTCCCCGTGCCCGCCGCTAGCGCACACAGCGCGGGGCCAGGCCCGGCCCGCGGTGTCCCCACGGCGGGGGGTGACATGCCACGGGAGCGGCGGGGGCGGCAGCCGGGGCCGCGCTGCGGTACGGCCTCCGACGGCCCGGCACCGGGGCACGGGGAAGCACGGCCACAGCCCTGCCGCCTCCCGCGTCCGGCAGCGCCCGGGAAGTCGGCCAGGCCGCCGCCGCGGCTGCCCCGTCCGCCCATCCGTGCGGGGGCGGCGGCGGCCATGGCGGGCTGGCTGACCCGGCGGTCCCGGTACGCCGCCAGGGGGCACTCGCGGGGAGCGCCGGGGCCGCGCCCGCCCGGCCGGCTCCGCGCCTCGGCAGCGCCGGCGGCCCGCTGCTAGCGAGCGGCCCGGAGTGCCGGCACTACCAGCTGCCAGCTGCGAGCGGCGCGGAGCCCCGAGAGCGCCGGGGAGCGCTGACCGTGCCCGCTCGGCGGGGCCGGGCCTGGAGCCGGCCCCGTCCGCGCTCCGTTCTGGCGGCGCGCGCCGCTCGCCGCCCCCGCTGGCGGCGCACGTGACCGGAAGCGGGCCGCGGCGGCGGCGGCGGCATGGCGGCGGAGGGCGATGTGGAGCTGGAGCTGGAGACGGAGCCCAACGGCTCCGGTGGCGGCAGCGATGGGGCGGGCGGGCGCGCGGCCGAGAAGCCGCGGAAGCACGATAGCGGCGCGGCGGACCTGGAGCGCGTCACGGACTACGCGGAGGAGAAGGAGATCCAGAGCTCCAACCTGGAGACGGTGCGGCGGCGGGACGGGACCGGGCCAGGGTGGGAGGCCGGGCGCTGCCTGCAGCGGGGCCGAGGCGGGCGCTGACAGCCGCGCCTGCACGCCCGTGCCGGTGGCCGTGCCGCCGGCGTGGCGCTGACCCGCCCGGTGCCGCTCATCGGGGTGACCGCGCTCGTTCTGGCAGGCTATGTCGGTGATCGGAGACCGGAGGTCCCGGGAGCAGAAAGCCAAGCAGGAGAGGTAACCGTCCGCGCTCGCCCCGGGGCAGTGCCTGTCGTGCAACTTGTCGCCACTCGGGACACGACCCAGGCATCCGCTGTCCTGTGCGACATCCCGGCCCCTCCTCGGCCCCCACGCTGCTGCGAGGGGTCGCTCCTGCCCACCTGACGGCCGAGGGAGCACCGGGGCAGGGGCCGGCGGGGACTGTTGGTCACCGGAGGTTTGTCCATCTCTTGCGTAGGGAGAAAGAACTGGCAAAAGTGACCATCAAGAAGGAGGACCTAGAGCTGATTGTGAGTAGGGGCGGGACCCCAGGCGGGCTGTGACATGTCCCAGATTTGGGTGCACCCACGGAGGAGGCCGGGGCGTCCTGCCCTGAGGCCGGTCCAGTGTCCCCATGGGTGGGTGTCCCCCAGGGCCCTGCGGGTGCTGTACAGGGCTGTGTCTGTTTTTCTGCAGATGACAGAGATGGAAATATCGAGGGCCGCAGCGGAGCGCAGCCTGCGCGAGCACATGGGCAACGTGGTGGAGGCTCTCATCACCCTCACCAACTGAGCTGGGGGGCCATGGGCTGCCAGGCGTGGGCCTCTTGCCATACCAATAAAGGCACTGGTGGGACTGGGCTGTCTTTGTGGTCTACACAGTGCTGAGCACATGCCCCTGGCCCTGAGTGTGTGGTACCCACAAGTGGGGCCCAGTCATGTGGCATTGTGTTGGCAGTGCCAGCTGGGCACCCCCTTGACAAGAGCAGGACAAAGTGACCTGCCTGAGCAGTGAGATGTTCTGCTCTCCCCCTCTTTTAATCTCTGCCCCGGGACAGTACAGGCTAGACAGGCCCAGGCACAGGCCTGAGGCAGTGGTGACAGCTGATCGTGCATGCCCTGCCCAGGCTGGTGCCTCCTGTGCTACCCCAGCTCACCATGGCTCACAAGGAAGGCACAAGAACAGGATGGCCATGTCTTTAAGAACAATGGAGCCAGAGTAAGAAAATCCAATCTTTAATCAAACCCTCCCACCCCATACAGGTAGAAAAGCCAAGCCCTGCAGGACCATGGTGAGGAGATAGGGTCACCAATGACCACCTCAAAACAGGGCCCAGACTGACACCTGGGACAGTACAAGCAAGGGGCTGTACAACAGAGAAGTGTAGAAGTCCTGTAATTCTTCCAGAAGTGGATGTGCTGAAGCCAGGGGTGGTGCTGCAATGTGCCAGACACTGCCAAGGCTCCACAGTGGCCGTTGCTGGGACACAGTGTGGCCACCAGCCTGGCCAGCACCACAGGCCATCATCCTCCACACTGCGTGGGCAAGGAACCCTTCGGGTCTGCTGAGCACAGGGAGTGGCACACCTCCTCTGGGTAGGCATGGTACAGGGACGGGAAGGGCTTGCCACCACAGGAGTCCTGGAACATGTCCCTTCTGGCCCTGCCCAGGCTCTGGCAGCTGGCAGAGCAGTGCCCTCCTGCCAGCATGTGCCACACCAGACCCTCTGGCCCGTGCTCCTAGGTCGTTTTCCGTTTCTTGGCCGAGGGTCTCTCAAAGACATCCCGCACCCCCGCTGCCTTCTGCTTAAAGAACTTGGTGTTCTGTGCGCTCTCCTGGCCCCAGGCAGAATCAAAGGAGGTGGTGTCCTGGTCCACCAGGTGCGTGTACTTCGTCCGCCCTGAGCGCCCGAAGTTCTTGACCTGGGGAGCAGAGGAGCTTGTGAGCAGCTGTTCAGGGGGATGCAGGACCAGCTCCTCCCACCTGCCCACCCCCTGGCATCCAGGCTGGGCACCCTCTGCCACCATGACACGCACCTGCATGACTTTGGGCAGGATGGTCTTGTTGAAGTGGTCCTCGAGGGTCGGAGCACTGAAGTCCCTCTTGTACACCTCTTCATCTTCATCCTGCAGGACGACACACCTGCTTAGCCTAAAAGGTTCCAGCAAGTCTTGGCAGCAGTGGGGGAAGCTGCCTGAAGGTCATATTGCTGCTCTGCCAGGGCTGCCACAGTACTTGCAGCCCTATTAACTCCTGCCGGAGTGGGAGATGTGAGCATTGTTCCCCAGGCTGCTTCTCCAGTGGCCCGTGCAGAGCTGACTTGGGTCTGTCAGCAGCAGCACAGGGACAGCTCTGCAGCTTCAGCTCCATTTCAACTGGGAACCCCTAACCTGATGTGCTCTGGTGAGGTTACTCTGGGTCAGCTTCAGCCCCGTGGTGCCTCTGAAGGTTGGTTCTTGTCCCAGGGCACCGTGGGAGAGGGGAGGCTCCCCACAGGGAAAAGGTGGCCCTGTGGTGTCACACCCGCAGCCCATGCAGCCAGGCCTGGCCCTAAGCACACTCACCATGAAGAAGGCGCCACGGTGGTAGTACTTCTGCAGGAATTTGTATTTGCCCTTCACTGCCTTGTTGGTGATGACTTTGCCATTGGCCCGGAGCTCGGCGCGGCGCTCCTCCTCTGTCAGGTTCCGCATACGCTCGATCTCTGCCTTCTCCTTCTCCATGCTGGGTGGGACAGAAGCTCCTGAGACCCTGTGTCCCCACAGCATCTCCTGGGAGAGAGGCTGTCCCCAGCTACCACCTGAGAGCTTACACATTTACTGCTAGGGAGCAAAGGCACCCTGAGGGCAGGCAGGAGGAACTCTGGGCGTTCAGTCCAGCTGGGACCCTGCTGCCAAAGGGCAGCTGAGGAAAAGGTGCATTAACTGCCTGTGGGCTCTCAGCCTCTCGCAGACATCACTTACGCTTCTCGTTCCTCGCGGTCTCGTTTGATACGCTTCAGCTCACGGACTTTCCAGGCCTCGTACTCCTCCTCATCGTTCTCATCATCTGTATCGAGTGCATCCAGTGCTGCCAGCGAGCGCTTGTTCTCCTCCAGCTCCTTCTTTGCTTCCTCTTCTACAATCTGCAGTGAGGTCCAAGCTAAGCTTGCTGCAGTGACCGCCCCCTCCGGCCTCCAGCCCACCCCTCCGCACCTTTAGCGTGTACTTCCGCCGCTCCTCTGCCATCCTCTTTGCCTCCTGCTCCAGCTCCTTCTGCTTCAGAGCTTCTGCTTCTCTCTCCTGCACCGTGATCCGGTCCTTCCTGAGAGCAGAGCCGTGACAGCCTTCAGCCCTCCCATGAGCCAGCAGTGGCTCAGCCTCTCGCTGGCTCCACACCGCAGCTGCTTTCAGCCTTTGCCCTCTCCAAGGACAGGTCAAGTCCCAGGGCTCTCCCCTTCCTGGGGACTACCACGTCCTTTTGCCACCAAAGGTATGGCCTTACCAAAGAGCTTTGGTCAGACTCTGCAGCCTGATGTCACAGCAACCCAATGTAATTGATATAGGGCTGTGGGAGCAGGGATTGTTCCTTGCTCCCTAGCTGTGCCCTGCCAGGCTGTGACCATCCCATCCCACCCCAAAGAGGTGAATGGCTTCCTCACAGTGAGAAGAGACCGTGGCAGCAAGGTCTCCTTGGGCCCCAGCTTCTGACTACCACGATCCAGGGCCAGCCCATGCACTTCCATCACCTACTTGCGAATAAAGACCGGTTTGAGACGTGGCTCCATTTCATCTTCGCTGTCTGTGTACTCCTCATACTCAGATTCTGACTCAGACTCTTCTCCAGAACGACCCTCATCTTCCAATTCCATCACTTCCATCTCCTCAGTTTTCCTCTCCTGTGCTCGCTGACGCATCATCCCACGCCGACGCTCGATCTCCTAATGGGGACAAGCACAGAGCAGTCAGAGGCCAGCCCTGCTACCACTTTTCTCTCTCCTGTGAAACACATGTCATGTCTGGACTGCTGGCTTTGAGAAGATGCACCTGCCTCTCTGGATGTAGCGTGGCCTCCCCCAGTGCCCTGTTCCATGCCAGAGGATAGTAACGCACCAGTTAATTCGTGGCTAGGTGTGACACTCGTCCAAATACATCAGACAGCCCACATATCTATGCAAAGGGCAGTTCCAGCCTCTGCCCTTCCAGCTTTCCTACGCCCATTATCTGGCTCTGCAAACACACCTCATCATCAATCTCTTCCTCTTCCTCTTCACTGGTGTCCTCCCGTTCCAGGCGCCAAGCTTCTCCCCCCTCCACTTCTGAATCGCTTTCTCCAACCACCTCAGGTTCCACGATCTTGCGGTGTCTTGCCAGCCTGCAAGAGACGCCAGTTACACACGGCACTCGGGACACAGGGGGCTACAGGAAGGGGACTGTAAGCACTGGCACTGCCAAACACGGCCACAACTGATACGTTCCCTCAGGAGGCCACAGTGGCTGGGCACTGGCAGCTCTTCCCTGTCCATGCTCCAAGGAAGAATGGAGTTCCCAATGAGAAGACTGTTATTGAAAACAAAACCAACCACAGCTCCACGGGAGGCAAACAGCACTCAGTGGTGTTTTTCTGCAGATGACAGAGATGGAAATATCATGGGCAGCAGCGGAGCACAGCCTGCGTGAGGGCAGGGACAATGTGGTGGAGGCTCTTATCACCCTGTGTACACTTCATGAGACACTGTCCTTCCTCGCTACCCTGAGCCTCAGCACGCTGCACTAATTTCTATTTTGGTGCCTGTTTTTGATACCGTCCACACAAACACACCTGGACATGGGCTGCACCTGGCTGGCTCCTGGCTGAAGAGCAGCCCCAGGTACAGTGCAGCATGGATATGAGAAGTCACAAACACTCCTGCACTGGACCATGTTCCCAGCTCCTGCCCTGTGCAGTTTCTCCCTGTAGCAGAGCAGAGTGCCAGCCCCCTGGCCCCAAACAGGCAAAGGAAGCTCAGCTCTTGCCTGACCCAGCACTCACCGCTCCTCCACGTCCTCGGCAATACGGTTCTGGAGACGCCGGAGCCGGGGGTCGTTGGCCAGTTCCTCCTCCTGTTCCTCGGGCTCGACCTCTTGCTCCTTCGCCTTCTTGATGAATTGGAACTCCTCATCCTCCTCCTCCGAGGACTCCATGGGCGCGTAATCGGGCCGCTTGCCCGACACGTACCGCTTCACCTTCACCTTCTCCATGGACAGCTCGCCTGCGGACGCCGGGCCGTCAACGGGGGTCTCGGCCCCGCGCCCCCGCCTCCCCAGCCCCGGCCCCGCGCCCATGCGGCCACCCCGCCGAGCCCCGGGCCCCCAGCTCACCCTTCTCGTTGCGGACGGGCACGGCGCCCGCCGTGGACTGGATCGGCGGCTGCTTCATGAGGGCGCTGGGGACCGACATGGTGGCGGCGGGCGGGGGCCGGGCCGGGCCGGGCCGAACCGAACCGAGCGGAGCCGCTGACAACGGCGCCTCGAGCGCTCACCCGGAACCGGAACCTCTGCCGCTTCCGCCGCGACCGGCACCGTCCGCGGCCCGGAAGTGACGCTCGGCCGGGGCCGCTGCTCGGAGCCTCCTCCCGGGCCCGCGGTTCGGCCCGGCGCGGGGTGTGCCGGGCCCGCGGCTGGGTGCCAGGGGGAGTCCCCGCTCCTTTCGCGTCCGCCATCGGCCGGGAGAGGTTCCGTTCCCTCCCGCACCACGCGGGTTTACCCCCGAAGGGGCGTCAGGGCGAGGCACCGGCCGAGCGGCCATCGGCCGGCGGGGGCACCGGGCAGCGCCGCGATAGCGCTCTGCTGCTCGCCCGGGGGCGACTCGCCTGGCGCCTCCGGCCGTGTCTGAACGGCGCCGGGACTCTGCAGGCCCGGCCGTTCCTCTGTGCAGGGAGCGCTCCGTGCGGGGCTGGAGCTGGACCGGCCGCTGCCGGAACACCGAGCGCTCAGGGTCACCCGCAGCTCGGTGACCGGGGGAACGTTCCCCGGCACATTCCCGTGCCGAACCGCCCTCCAGAGCCGGAGAAAACCGCCGCTCGCTTTGGCGCACAGCGGGGCCGGGGGGGCTGCGCCGTGCCCGCTGCCCGCGCGGCCGCTCGGGGCGGAGCGGGGCCCGGTGGCCGCGGCCGCTGCTGCAGCCGTGCAGCTCCTCCCTGCGGCGGCCGCCCTTGCTCCCGACAGCCGGGAGGGCAGTGTCCCTGCTCTGCCCGCTGCCAGCCGGCTCCAGCAGGGACAGAGAGCTCCTGCCCCGCCGTCGGCCCCGGAGCGTCCGGCCTGGCCAGCGCCGGGAGGCTGCGGCGGGGCAGGAGCTCCGCCGTGCTGCTCGGCAAGGCTGGGGCAGCTCCCGGGAGTCCCCCTGGCGTGGGTGTGGTAAAGTGTCTGTGGGGAAAGGCTGCGGCCACGGCGGCTGCTTGGGGATTTTCCATGAGCAGCCGGGCGCTGCCTGTGTCAGCAGGTCTCAGCTCCCGAGGGCTGCGCGGTCCCACGGGGTCGGGGAGCGGCTGCTGCGGGATGTCCCTGGGCGCACATCCTGCCGCAGAAGATAATCGTTTCTCTTAAGCTGGTAAAACTGCGTCACAAGCCACTACTGCCACGTCTGCCACTTTCTGCGTGCCACCTTCTGCTGGCTTCTACGAAGAAAGGAAGAGGAAACCCTCTTATCTTCCATGAAATCTGCTAGCTGGCAGGGAAATTTAGGAAGCAGGGGGGCAGAGCCATGCTTTAACAGTTCACTGGCAGTAGCAGAGCAGGTGCTCTCGTGCTTGTGTGGCAGAGGCCCTGTGGGGTGATGCCAGCTCTGGCAGCCAGGAAAGGCCAGAGCACATGTGCTTTTCCAGTTGGTGGGTCAGCAGTGGAGCACAATCCGTAGGGGAGTGCAGGGAAGTGCTTTTCTTTTGGTGTCCTTGGTCTGGGCTGGGAGATGTCCCTCTGGCAGCATCTCCTGCAGCCAGTCTAGGGGAGAGCAGACCCAATTTTTTGCAGCAGTACCACCCTAGTCTGGTCCCAGAAGAGGCTGCAGAGGTCCAAAGGCCACCACGGAGGTTGGCTCTCACCTGGGGGACTCTCCTTGGCCTACAGAGATGCCAGGGCTGGGCAGATCCAGGCATGGGGGCAGGTGGGCCCAGTCCCCTGCAGCACTGACTCAGTCCCTGCTCTAGTTCTGGGGAAGGGTGTCCCTGCAGTGCCCTCCATACAGACCTGTTTCTGCTGCAGGCAGAAATGATGCCGTGAAGCTGGTGGTTTGCCTGAGCAACTGAGGCATTGGTGCCTTTATAATCCTAGAGCACCTACAGCCTCTGCCAGGAACGAGCAAGAGTGGATCTGTGTGCTTGTTGGTGTGCTTCTGGCCTTTGCACCCAGGTGACAACCAGAGCACCCGCTCTGTGTTTATGTTGTTAATGTTGAGGGTTGCCACAGTGTGTTCCCAGCTGGTGACTCCTGTGCCACGTGGCAAGGAATAAGCTTTAACAGGACTTGGAGGAGCAGTTGGCCACAGCTATGAGGAAGCTTGGGGATTGCACACAAAGCAGATACTGTTCCATTCAGGTGAAGCTAAACTAAAGACCTGGGCAAACAGGGAAATGCCTTCAAGCCTGGCTCGCTTCTGTGGCTCCAGGTGCTGGAGGCCATGGCAGGAAGATGCCCCTCACTGTGAGGTCTTTTGCCCCACGTTCCCTTTCCCCAGTGCAGTGGCTGCTGCTATCTTGGCTCTGCAGCGCTTGGCAGTTGGCAGCTGGGCTGCAACAGGGTGGGAGGCACTTCATGGGGCTGAGCCCCCCATTCCTGGGCTGGTGTGAGGCCATGGAAGGCTGGCAGCTGTTCCATGAGTGAGCCTGGAGCATGGGCCAGTCTGCCCCTCGGTGCTGTGCCAGCCACACCTGCTGGTTTTTGGGCTGGGTTTGTGTGTCCGTGCTTGTGAGCAGCCCCTCCGCAGCCCACAAAGCCCGTGGGCACATGGCATTCCTACTGCTGGGCCGCAGGTGGGCTCCCAGCCTGGTGTTCCCTGTCCGTGTGTGCGTGTCCCCGTGCGTGTCACTTGTGTGCAACGCCCCAAGTGCCACGGGCACCTTGTGGACTTAGGCTGGGCAAGGCTGTCCCTCCACCTGAGCAGCAGGCGATGACAGGGTGCTGTCACAGGGCAGGTGATGGAAGGGCACGTCCTGCAGCCCAGAGCAGGGGCAGAGCCAGACTAGGCTGTGGATCGATGCCGTGGCAGCATTAGGACTGCTGCTGACAAAGCCTGAGGCAGATAGTTACAGACCTCACCTTGAGCAGCTGCTGTTTATGTCTGCAGCTGTATTGCAGGACAAGGTCAGGATGTTTGGGCTGGGCCCGAGTCCCTGCATGTGGCCACGGTGAGATGTTGTGTCTGGGAGTCAGAGATAAATAGAGCTGCTGGAGCCAGCTGGACCTTGTGGAGCAGAAATCCTGCCTGTGCCACGGCAGTCCCAGCTCCCTGGGCACTAAAGGGCCTGCTGGTACTATCCAGTGTGGAGGGGAGGGGATGGACTGGAGAGACTCCAGGGAAAGGGACGGCAGCCTTAGCTTTGGGAGAGTGTGAGGATGTGTGCAGGGAGAAGGCTGGACAGCACAACAGAGGGACTGTGGGCTCACCTCTGCTGGCATGGGGGGCAGAGCAGGCTGCTCTGTGCTGGGTAAACCTTCTGGTATTTATTTGGTGCATCCAGAAGTTTCTGCCTGCTTGGTTTTCTCTGCTGGTTTCTCTGTGTGGGCTCTCTGCCCTTTTCCTGCTATTGCCTATTCATTAGCTGCTTTCACCTGCAATCCTGCAGGTCCCCCAGACCATGGTCCCCAAGTGTGAGAGAAGGGTTTGTGATCCTGGCAGATGTGTGGCAGTCGCTGTTTCACCCCCTGGCTGCATGGTGGCTGGGGGCAGAGAGGGGTGCCCGGCAGCCCTGAGAGGCGAGTGGGGCACAGTGGCTGCTCAGGCCCATGCTGGGGGCCCTCTCTGCTCCTTCTGCAGCTGGGCCCGGGGCTGCTGGGGCAGCGGGTCTCCTCCCCGTCCTGGCATCGTGCCACCTGCAGCCAGGTGCTTCCCGAGCCAGGCGTTTTCTTTGGCAGGGCCGTGGGGTCAGCGCGGGTCCCAGGCCGCGGTTTGCGTAAGAGCGCGGTGCTTCCTGCCTGCCTGCCCCGCAGCGCCGCGATAAGCCCGCGCTGACAAGGGCCCTTTGTCAGCTCCTCTCAGCACCGCCTGTCACAGGCCGTGCAGCAGCTCCTCACCTGCCTAGGCACGACTGCCAGCGCCCAAAGGAGGCATCCAGAGATAAGGTTCACGGGTGGGGCAGGCAGCCCGAGTCCCGTCCTCCCTCCCACCACTGCTCCGGACTCCAGCTCCGGCCCTGCCCCTGTCCATGCACCCTCCATATAACCCCATGGGGCACAGCTGGCTCCCTGTGCCCCCAAGGGCAGGCCCGGGCTTGCCAGCTACAGGGACGAGTCCTGAGCATGCTGCAGTGACGCTGCGGTGAGTGCTGTCTGTCTGGTGGGTGCCTTCTCCCCCTGGTGGGACCGTGGCCCTGAAGGTGGGCCTGGGGCACCACAGCCCCTGTGGCTGGCGGTCTCTGGTGCAGCACTTGGGGCTGGCTGCCAGGGTTGGCCCAGCCTGAATGCCTGCGGCCAGGGTACTGCCCTGCAGAACTAACCCAGTTTAGCACAGCAGCCTGCCCTGTGCTAGATTTTCTGGGCTGTTTTCAGCATCTCGGTTACCAAGGTGACTGTTTCCTGTGTGATTGCTAATGCTTCACGATCTCGATCGTGGTATCTGAGTGACTTCCTTTTCTCTGTAAAGAGCCCTAGGACCTGCTCCTGCCCTGGGCTGCCAGACTCATCGCAGGTGTGGAGGATTCAGGTCAGTTTGGGTTCAGGTCACTTTGGGTTCTGCTGCATTTGTGTTGCTAATGACATGGTCCCGTGCTCACCGTGGGTTGTTCTTTACAAACGACTGAAGCTGTGTTTCACTTCTCACCTTTTCTCCTTGGTGGAAGTCTCTCTCTTGAAACGGGGCTAATAGATTTTTCTTGTGTTATTCTTTACCAGACAGTTTTTCTGTCAGGCTGCAGCACACAGACCTGGGGTTGCAGGCCCACGATATGGACCTCATGGGAAGTGCGATTCCCGCAGCCTGGTTGGGGAACTCTCTACTCCGGGGTCTGCCATGGCTGGAACAGGCTAATCTGGCGGGGCTCCTGTCCTGCCAGCCCCGTGTCACAGCATAACGCACCACTTGCTGCACCAGGCGGGAGACTGGGCATCTTCTGCGTGCTCTTCACTGCAGGCACCCTTACACCGCCGGTCACTGCCGCGGGCCCGTGGCGGGGGCTCACGGCTCTCACGGCGCAGATCCGGGTTTCCCGCCTGGGCTGGCATAGGGTTTCCCCCGGGTGGCAAGGACAGCCCCACGCTCGGCTGCAAGAGAGGCCGTGCAGAGCCCCGGGCTGTGCCCGCTACTGGCCGCGGGGAGCGGCCCCGCTACTGGCGGGCGGCGCGGAGGGACTGCCGGGGGTCCGTGCCGGACCCGGCGATGCAGCACGGGACGGAGGGGCGGGCGGCGGTGACGGCATCCGGCGGCGCCCGGCAGAGCGGCGGCCGGGCCGGGCCGGGCCGTGCCGAGCCGAGGGAGCCGCGCGGGGCCGGTGGCTCGGCCGTCGGGGCGGGGCCGGGCGGCGCTGACAGCTGCGCGGCGTAAACAAGCGGCCCCGCCGGCCGCCCCGGCCGCCCCTGCCTGGGCCGGGCCCGGCTCCGGGGCGGGCGCTCCGGGCGCCCCGCGGCGTGACGCGGCGCCGCCGACAGACGGGCCCGGCTGCCGACGGGACGGAGCGGAGCGGGCAGGCCGCGCGGTAAGGGCGTGGGACCGGCATCGGCCTGGGGTGGCTCGACCGGCCGGCGGCCGCGGTTTGACAGCTGGGGCGGCCCTGCCGGACGGGACCCGGGCGGCGGAGGGGCTGGGGCCGGGGCGACCGGTGGGGCCGCAGCCGCTAGGCAGCCCCAGGCTTAGGGCGCTGCTGGCGGGCATGTGCGGGCCCGGCGGTCCCCGGGCGCGAGCGGGGAGCCGGGAGGCCGCGCTCGGAGCTGCGGCGGGGACAGCCGGAGCCGGAGCCGCCGCCGCGGGAGACCGAAGGGCAGCCAGGCCGCCTCCCAGCCCGGCCGCCGCCGTCCGGAGCTCCGCTGCTGGAGCCGCCCCGTGCGTGCAGGCCCGGGGCCGCCGCTCAGTCCGGGGCCGCCGGGCTGCTCCCGTGCGGGGCTGGCTCCTTGGGCAGCGGGCGCGGGCCGGGCCGCGGTGCGGAGCCGGGAGCGCGGCTCCGGGCTGGGTGCGGCGGCCGGGCCGTCCCAGCACGCGGTGCTTCGCTGGCGACGGGTCCGGCGGGAAGGCGCCGCGGGGTCCGGGCTGTGCCCCGGCGGCCAGACTGTCCCCACGTTCAGCGGTCACCGCCGGCGCGGGACGGCTGCTGGCGTCGGCACCAACGCGGGGAAACAGCCCGGCCTGGGTGCCCGGTATTGGCACGTACGCTGGTGGACCACGGCAGATAATTTTCCATTGTGCCGTACTGTGCTGAGGGCCTTGACAGTCTGGCACCCGGGGCTCCCGTACAGCCTCCGGCGGGTGCTCGCGGCTCTGGGCCGTTTGTCGGGGCGGTCCGGCGCGGGGCTGGCCGAGGTGTGGTCGCTGATAGGGAAGCCCAGCTGTGCCAGGGTCGCTGCACTGTCTGTGCCGAAGCCTCTGGCGGGGTCTCCGGCGCTGCTCAGAGCTCTCTGCTGTGGCGGTGCCGCAGGCTGCCAGCTCGCTGTGGCCACTTCTGGATGGGGGGGCTTGTGGCTCCTCTGGGCACTGCCGGCTCTCACTTTTCCAGCTGGCCAGATATTCTGCTTCAGATTTCTGAAGCATGACCAGGGTCCCTCTGGAGCTCCGAGTTTGGAGCTCACCCTGGCACCATCGTGTCATGGGCTCCCGTACACTGAGTGGGTCATTCCCTGCTCTTTCCCTACAAGTTATTGCGTTTGCTGTCCCAAAAGTGTGAGCTGTTCCTGGGCATCCCTGGGTTCATGCTGGAGGTGACGGTGTGCCCCTTTTCCTGGTCCTGGTTCCACCGGGTTGCGGGGATGAGTCACACCGGTGTCACCATGTTGTGCTCCATGAGGAAGGGCAGAGCTGAGCTGCTGCTGGTGACAGGCAGCACAGTGCTTGCCATGGCTGCCAGGCACTGCCTGGTCAATGGCTGTGGAGATGAGAGCCTGCAGGTTTGCTAGAGGTCAGGAGCTCCCCTTGACTTTTCTCCGTCCAGTCTCTCATTTTGCTGGGATTCCTTGCACAGCACCTGAGGACATCTCCTTTGGGCTCCCCTTGGGACTGGAGAGGCAGGCCTCAGTTGCTCCCACCTCTGTACTCAGATAGTCCCATCCCAGTTGGAGCAGGGGTAGTGGCAGCAGGAGGCACAGCAGTCTCTCTTGCCTTGCCTCTCCCGTCCTTTGGTGCCCTCCTCTCCTCCTGGTTAATTCTCTATGTTTATAAGCAAACATTGGGCAATAGGCAAGGTAAACAGCAGCTCCACGCAGGAGCAGACGTGGGCACACGGCCAAGCCAGGCGGCTCCTCGGCTGTCGGTGTGCCGTGGGGGCAGCAGGCGCTGTGTGCCAGGCCCCCTTGCCCAGGGGCTGACCCACCTCTCCGCGGGGCACAGCCTGCCCTCCTGAGGGCTGAGGAAAGGTGCCCTGGGCATGACCTCTGTCCTGTCTCTGCAGATCGTGCTTCTGTCCTGGATGGTTTGTTCCTGTGCTTCTGTGGGCTTGGCCTCATGTGGCCTTGGGCTGAGCTGGGACCAGTAGGGCAGAGAGGCCGGTGTGCCTCGGAGTGCTGACGCTGGGAGGCTGCTGGACCTGCTTCTCCCGGGACCCTCCTGCTCCTGGGACCCTCCTGCTCGCCAGCTCGAGGAGCCCCGTTACTCTGATGGATCTGAGGCCCTGCTCGCTGCTGTTGCTCTGGACTCTGGTGGTTGCCCTCACTGTCCTGGACCAGGAGGTGCTGGCCCAGCATATTTACACCAACACCTGGGCTGTGCTCGTCCCTGCAGGACCCCAGGAGGCTGACAGGCTGGCCAGGAAGCATGGATTCCTCAACCTAGGCCCGGTAAGTCTCCTGCTTCCCCTTCTCACTGAACTAGTGTCCTCTGACGTGGTCTGGGCAGGTGCTGAGCTTAGTCCCAGAGCTGGCTCGGGGCCTGCTCTTTCTGGCAGCAGCACCACTGTGTTTGTGCCTGTTTGCTGTGGCCTTCCAGCATCTGCTGCCTTGACTCAATGGTGGCAATTACCTGTATCGAGCCAGGGTCTCCCCCTGTCCCTGGGACCGCTGGTGACATGGTACGCTGCCTGCTGGATGGGGAAGGAGGAAAAGCCCAGCCTAGCATGAGGAGCTGGACTGGAAGTGCTGTGTGATGATGGATGGGGAAGGCTTCCAGATTCCACTGTTGCTCCCCACAGCAAGCTGCCCAGTGCAGCAAGGCCTTGGTTCAGTGGGACAGCAGCAGCGTCTCTGAGCTGCCCCCAGAGGGGTCTGACAGCAGCTGTGTATTCTTACTCCTGAGCTGTCCTTGACAGAAGGTGTGTCAGCAGGTCCCCCCGGCCCTCAGCTTTCCCTGCTGTCAGCCAGCGACCAGGCAGTGTGCGTGGCTGTGCTGGGAGTGAGCTGTTTCTCTGGGAAGGAAGTGCAGGGTGAAATCCCAGAGGAAATTGCACAACTGTGGCTGTGGTGTCAGGACCTCGCTGTGCGCAGCTGCTGGGAGCAGTGGGAGGGAGGGTGGCTGCTGCAGGAGCCAGCAGGACCTTGCCCTGCCACTCAAAAGGAGCCCTGCATGGGCACTGGGTACTCTGGGCCCTCTGGGACTTGTGTCATAGGAGTGAGCTGTGGGGGCTGTGGCTAGAGCCCAGTGAGGGTGTCTGAGCTGGGTGGGCCATGGCATTGCCTTAGGCAGCTGCTGTCAGTGTGGAAGTGGCTCAGAGCAGGTCTCAGGGGAAAGAACTGCAGCTGCCATGCACAGGGGACTGCGAGAGTGGCATGTCCACCAGCCTGGATGTCTGATGAGACCCCTTGGAGTGGGGATGGGGGTGAGGTACCATCAGCCTGCTCCTGGCAGTGCTGCCCATCATGCTGTGGTGCCTGGTCCCAGGCCTGGCTGCCAGGGCCAAGGGACACTGCTTCTGTGGCTTCATCTCCACAGTGCAGGGCCTTGTACTGCACTGAGAGAGCCCAGGCCTGTCATGAGTTCCATCGCTGTGAGCCGCAGAGGCTCTGTGCCAGCTCTGCCCTTGTCTTCTCCCCACACCGTGGTTCTGCGCCTGGAAGCTGGCACCCCTTCCTGGCTCCCCGTGCCCTCACAGCAGCGAGCCTGCCCTTGCAAGCAGAGCCCCACATGCTGCAGCAGCCCAGGCTGTAGTAGGAGCTTCTGGTCTGGACATGTTTTCTCCCGTTCTGGAGCCTGCCCCGCTGTCTGCATTGTGGGACGAGGTTTGCTGGCCTGGGCTTTGCAGACGGGTCGTGGCGGTCCAGTGGGAAGAACGTGGCTGGAAAGAGCCTGGGGCTTTGCCTGGCAGGTTTCTGGACTGCTGCTCCTGGGGGTGTGTGCCACTGGGACAGGGCATGCAGCCAGGCTGGGAGTGAGGGACTGGGTGCATCTGGCAGTGCCCCAGTGAGAGGAACCCAGTGTCCTTCTCTGAGAGGATCCTGGCCTCAGCCTGGGCTCAGGATGCTGTCCCCAAAGCTGTGCTGTCCTGGCATACCTGTGGCTATGCTGCTGCCTATGGAATAGGAGCCAGTGGCACTTGGGCAGAGGGCCCATGACTGGCTCTAGTGACCTTGAGGAGGGCACAGGGGACAGTGAGGGGTCATGCATGTGGCGGTGAGGTGGGTTTGTAGGGGTTTGCACTGCTGGGATTGTGCAGAGAAGGGGGCAAAGGCATTGCCCCCCACTGCTGGGATTGGGGTCACTGGGGAGGGACACTGATGGAGCCATCCCTGGGCTATGCTGACAGGACAGTGCCATCCTGGGAGGGGGTGGTCCTGTCTCCCACACCGCTGGGCTGCAGGTGCAGCATGTTGCTCCACTCCAGGGGCTGTGGTCAGGCATCCAGGCAGCCTCCTAGCGCAGGGGCTGGCCAGGGTCGCTGTGAGCTGTGGCCAGGGGTCAAACAGCAGCGCTGAACTGGCACCAGGGACACGTGGTGCTGGGGGGTGGCTTTGTCCTTGCTGAGGACAGGGACAGTGAAGATTAGGGTGGAAGTGTGTGGGCTGGCCAGCTCCTGGCTGCCACCACAGTGTCAGTGCAGACCTAATCCAGGTGGATGACCAGTCAGAGCTGCAGTCTGTGTGCAGGAGCAATCTGGGCTCTGTCCATACCCCGGAGGGGGTGAGGGATGCTGAGGGAGAGCAGCCAGCCTGCATTCCCCCACCAGCCCTGTGCAGAGCCTTTGTACCTTGACACCTCCTCGGGGGCTCTGAACTGGCAGGCACCCTGGGGAACACGGTGTGCCAGACGAACGGGGCCAGGGTTCGGGGTGAAATGCTGACTGCTGCCCTGGCCTCAGGGTGCTCAGCTGGGTGCACCTTGCTTGGCCCAGTCTGTCCAAATTGGCAGCACATCTGCAGAGCTCTCATAAGCTGGGGAGGTTTGTTAGCCCCAAACAGACGGTTTTGGGGCAACCTGAGATGGAGGAGGGTGAGATGTCTTCATATTCCTGCAGCCCTTTCAGCCCAGCCCCTCCAGCTCTGGCCCAGCCTCGGCAGCTGGATCCTGCCTGTGGCTGCTGCCTGGGCTTTGTGGCTCACAGGGAGCTGCTCTGTGCGTGCTTGTTCCCTTCTCCCCAGTTGGGGCAGGCTGCTGGGCTGGGAGGCCCTGGGCAGCCAGGGTGGGGCCACTGTGTCCGTCAGCCCCAGGATGTGCGAGAGGGGACACGGAAATGACAGCGCTGGAGAGGGTTTGGGGTTTAAAAATAACCATCTGGGCGGCAGAATGGCCTCCTGGCCCCACCAGCTGTCCTGGATTCCCGTCCTGCCCCAGCTGGGCTGTGCTGGAGTCCCTCTGGGCTGTCCTCAATGGGACTGGAGCTGGGGTGAGGACAGCACGGCTGCTTGGCAGTGGGAGTTGGACCCCGCTGGGCTTGGATGCCTGCATGCCCCCTGCTCTGCCCCACTGGAACTGGCTGTGCCTCAGGTGGAGGCTGGCACTGGGTGGGTGTTCCAGTGGGGCACCTGGGGAGAAGCCAGCAGCCTGTCCAGAGATGCAGAGGCTGGTACAGACCCTGCCCTGGCTAGGATCTCCTGGAGTGTGGGGCCGGGAGCCACTGGGACCTTCTTCCAGGAGGAGCTGGGTGGCACTGGAGGAGAAGCAGTGGGTTTGTCTCCTGAGCCTGGCGTCCCTCACAGGCTGATTCTGAAAGGCCTGTCCCTCTCTGCCACTGCTTGCCTGGGGCCTTCCTGCTAGGGCAGCAGTTTTTTTGGACAATGTTAGACTTGCTGCCATGTGGGGACCTGCAGGAGGGTGAGGTGCACAGCAGTTGCATTTCTGCTGCTCCAGGGTCTTCCCAGCTGCCTCGTCCCCAGCTGCCACAGCTTCTCGCAGGCGGTCCTGCCCAGAGTACCGGACATAACACCAAGCACTCTGGAGCGGGGCCCAGCCCGTGCACGGCAGCCCTGGAGCTCACATTGCACACGCGGGGTGTAGAGGACTGGGGAGGCCAGGCTGTCGGGGCTGTCCCGCGAGCAGCATTTCTCTGTTGCAGATCTTTGGTGACTATTACCACTTTCGGCACCGCGGCGTGGCCAAGCGTTCCCTGTCGCCCCACCAGCCCTGGCACAGCCGCCTGGCCAGGGAGCCCCAGGTACGAGCGAGCAGGGCCT